CGAATATTTCATACCTTAATAGTGGTCGTAATATTTGAGTTCGCTCGCAGGAGAGTGGGCATATCCACTTTTGATAATCCTTTTCCGACCTTACTGTTTTTTCTTGGTACCCGTTCTGCATATTTTTCTATTAATCTCAAAACACCATTCTCCTGAAAAAAGGACTAAACTTTTTACTTTAAATGACAGAAGCCTTTTAGGAGACATCCTGATGGAGGCTATAAATATCTCAGAGAAGTTCTCTGAGGAGAGAAAACGGGAAATGGAGATCAACCTAATTGCAAAGATCTTGACACATTAATATACCGAGAAGATGGAATATTTTCTGAGACACGATTACAGATCGTATATTAAATAAGGACCTAACTATGAAGAGCGATTGAATCTTATGTGACATGCTAAAGGATAGACATATGAATGGGGAAATTTATGCATGGACAGGGAATTCAATCATAAGAAAGGATGTTTGACAACCAACTGCCTAAGGATTACCGAGGATACACAAACAAGACGAGCCACTAAGTCAACAAGTATAGGACAACACACAAATTGCCAAATTCATGTTTGAAACTTAAGACATTAAATGCCAGGCTATCAAACATGTTGAAACATTCATATGAATTTTCTCAAAAAATCAAGAACATGGCATTGGAAAAACAAACTTATTGGTAAATTGTGATAGGGAAACCATGTACACGAATATCTCTGGATAAAATGCACTAAACATGCTGCTATAAATCTTTGACGGAGGGGAGGATATCCTGGAATCACAATAGATCAGGAAGGAGTCGTTAACATGACTAATCAACTTGACAGTAAGGATAACCTATTTAACATTCAACGGGACCATCTATGAACAAATACTTGGACTCCCCATGAGATCGCCGCTCTCACCAATTTTAGTAAACGTATACATGAACAAAATGGAAGAGAAATATTGTGCCGGGATAGTACTCAATTCCCTGCCCCATCACAACTAGACGAAATATAGAAATAATGAGGAGCATGAGCATCCAAGGCCTACGCTTAACGGATGTGGAATTCTGGGATGAAGAATTATCATAACTAATATAGCAGAGGACTTCAGGCAAAATGCGTTCAACTAAGTCACCTTAACAACAAGACCAAGTTGTTAATTATATAGCTAATGGCCTAAGCCAAATACAGCCAAAAAAATAACAAACCTTAAATTAATTATCTAAAGAATGTAAAGATTAAAGAATTATACCTAAGAGACAAATCTTCTACGCCATATTAATGATCAAAATCTGAGGCTCAAATGCGTGACCTAATAGGAGTTTTTAGCAATATATATACAAATTGTGCATAACACTGGTCGAAGTGCTATCTGTATTTGTCCGCTCGATGTTAGGATTTAAGACCCGCGATGTCATATAATCACAAGCAGTTGAAAAAATTCAACCCTAGACGGCTTACTTAAAACCAGCAGAAAGAGTAAATATTTAAAAAGCCAAGAGAAGTTGTAAAGAAAGAAATCCTTAACAAAAACAAAAATAATGAACAGAAAATGACGTAAAAAAACTAGTAAAATAAGTTGCGCTTACTTGTCAGGTTTGAGGTCACGATGAACGATTCCATAGTTGTGAAGGTACTCAAGTGCCAGTACTGTCTCTGCAAAGTACATCCGAGCGAGATCAAATGGAAGTGGGCCAGCATTTTTAAGCATAGCTGCGCAATCTCCACCGTCTACGTACTCCATTACCATGCAAAGGCACTTTTTGGTTTCAAAAGTGCAATAGAGGCTGACGACAAACGGATTATCTGCAAATGTCATAATATCTCGCTCAGCGAATACTTGCTCCACTTGGTTCCTAAGACGAAGATGTTGTTTACGAATTTTCTTCATACTGTAGCGCTGTCGAGTATAACGATCACGAACAAGGTAGACGGCTCTGAGAATCAAAAAGCATATAAGGAAAACAAAATAGAAGTATAAAATAATAAGAAATCGTAAAGCAATTAGAAGCTCTAGACACTCTAATTCGCACAAGGTGATGAAAAATTAGTAGATGAATTATTCTACAGAGATATAAATAGGCCTCACGATGCCAGTGAATGTATATAAGCTTTGACTATTGATAAACTCGAAATCCACTTATAATCAAACTAAGGCGAAGAATGAGACATTATTTAAACTAGTTTCATTCACACGGAAAAGATGAGGAAAAAATAATCAAATGTGAAACGCAAATTAATTGCTCAGTGACGCATAGAACAATATTTAAAATTTCATGTTATGTATAAATGAATTTACAGATATACTTTGAAATTTTTATCTATGGAACAGGGAGTTACCTAAAATACTTATTAGCAGTTAGAATGCAATAAAATAGAGCCCACAATGTATAAACGAAACGAGGGTAAGATAAGAGTAATCGGGTTAGTGATAAAAGTTTCCTCCGAAAAACTTCATGAACATCGTAGCTTCATAAAACAGGTATGATTTTCTATCATCAATTTTTTCAGTTATAAATTTAGATAACCTAAATGTATTCGAAAAAAGTTCTCAGTCTAGAGTACCATCAGCAAATGATACTTCATTAATTATTTATTTTGATGCATTTCAGTGAATGGAATTTTAATGCAAAAGAATAATATTAAAAACCCATTAACTACAAGTAATTTAAGATTATTAACATTATGTTTAGGGTTTTCGCATGATTATATGAGTAAGCTTCAAAATGCTATTGAACATTATTTGGTCTTGCTACCCAAATAGCTCTTGTATTTAGAGCGGACTACAGTTTATACCTCACAGGTAGAATCAGCATCCATTACAGGATTTGATAGAGGATTTTGAGCCTCGTGACGAAGTTACCACTCACTTACATAACCAAAGGGAATTCAAGGCAATTTAGGCCTTTCCTAAATCATATTTATGCTAGTTTAGGTAGAGTAAACACGTATTTACCACGTAGTGTGATAGTGAAGGCGTGATACGAGGACATATGATTGATGATTAACTTAGGGCGGAAAGAGAGATACCACGATTGTTTAGCAGACAATTAGTTGGCTTCACTTGCCTGTGTCGAGTTGTACTGTGGTGCTAAGAATAGCAAGGCTCATTGACGTCTGTGAATGTACCACGTCCACCGTCCGACACTAGAAATTAATCGAAGGTATGAAGACCAAGATAGTGTGGCCTTTTGTGTGGTCGCAGTCTCCTTTCGTTA